GCAAACGATTAATTACAGTGACAATATTCCAGGCTTCTGAACATCATTTGTTACATGAGTCGCAAGTGTCTGTATTTCGCAAGGGACACTAATTCGAGCAAGATGCATTAGTAGGCAGCATCAATTAACAGAAGTGTATATGAAGACTTTAATGAGAGATTTTCTACGCAGAGGGTATTTCGAGGATCTAGAATGAAAAGAATGTATTTCAAGTTGTTGATTATGATTTTTGTAATTAGAACGCTGTTAATAACTTTGACACGAGATGGAAAATCTTGTCTGTGCTTATTTATTTGTGGCATTTTTTGTTAATTTCTTTATTTAATTGATAACTAAAACAGGAAAGATATAAATTTGGTGCTTTATAACATTTATAACGAAATATACTCCTTTTATTAGTGTGCTATGTTTCTGGTTAGATAAAATAAGTTTTATAAAATCAACTCTGATTTATATAAAATCCCTTCTTCTTTTCAGTGTGGTAGAAATAATCAATGAAATAAACATGTAAAAAATCTTACTATAGGTACATTTCAATGAAGCAGAAAAAGAAACGTTCATTATATTTTACATTACCCATTTTCTTATGGAAACAAATATGTTCTGAAATGGACTTTGTGTATTATAAATGTGTTGAAAATATTATTTTTCATAAAACTAGCTCGTTATACAATAGGTGCAAATATAAATTAGAACTAAGGAATAAAAAAAATAAGTAGAAATTTGATTTAAAGTAACAGGTTTTAAAATGAAGTTTGAAAAATACCCGAAAGAAAATGTTTTCGATGAACTTTTAAACATTGCTCTATTATATCTACAGGGTGACCCATTAAGAATGGAAACACTCGCGTACAAAAGTTGTTTATTGACCGATATGAACCGTTTTTTTTTTAAGATAGATCTCCAAAAGCTCTATCTTGATGCAAAATTTGAAGATGAAATTTTGATTTTCAAGGCCTACTACGATTTTTTTTAAGTGGAAAAATAGCAAAATTTTGTTAGCGATTTTTTTATAAAAAATCTGACTACACCACTGGATTTAGGAACCTCTCAAATGCATTTGTACCAATTTTTTCGAAAAAAGTTTGCCCCTAAAAAAGTTCTGATAATATCGGTATCACCAGTGTTTGCCGTTTTCGGTGAACCTATTATTTTATAAAAACCGAATAGAACCCAAAGAGAAACAAAATTCAATAACAAACACTGATTTAATAATTATTAATAAGAACCATAAAAACCAGTATACATAAAATAAACAACAAGTTCGTCAAATTATTATTATTTCGTGGTTATTATGCCAAAACTTACAAATATTACCTTCTTAGACAAAAATAATTACATTTATAATTTTTTTATTCAAAAAGCCACTGGATTCTAAAACCATAATCCAATTCTTTGTGAAGAATTTTCTGAAAAAAATAGTACGAGATATCCAGAAAATAACGTTGCTTAAAAATAATTTTGTAGGCTGTGAAAAATAGAAGTTTAGACAACAAATGTCAAACTTCACAAGTAGTGGCACATTGTAATATTTTTTGTGCATGGTTAAATAAGTTCCATAATTCTTTGCGATGGCTCAAAGTTTAACTTTACATGAGAAAATTTAAATAGTACGCCTTTTTGGAGAAAATGATCGGACGGCAAGAGAGGTGTGTATAATTTTTAACAACAGACATCCAGATAGACCTAATATTACGCATAGCACAGTTTTTAAAATAAACAATACTTTTATGGAATATGGTGCTGTATCAAAATGCATTTTAAAAAGGGACAATCAACAGAGAAGACGTATTCACGAGCAGGAAATTTTAAATTATTTTACAAACAATCAGAATAGCCTCAGGATTGCTAGTTTAGATTTAAATTTACCTAGAAAAAAAATAACATAAAACCCTATAAACCTAAGTTTCTTCACACTCTGGAACCAGGCGATAATGAGAAACGAATGGAGTTTTGTCTCTGGGCACAGGGACAATATCTCAATTACCGATTTAAAAAAAAATATATCTTATTCAGCGATGAATCCACATTCACGACGAATGGAATTGTATCATCACAGAACTCGCGGTGTTGGGTTTTGGGTTTCAGAAATTTCTACATTTCCTTCAGAACGAATTTTTTAAAGCAGTCGATAATCTTCCATTACAAGAAAGAGTAAATCTACATTTTCAGTTGGATGGATGTCCAATACACAATGCGAGACATGTCAGGGAGTGGCTTAACGAGAATTTCCCCAATCATTGGATAGGTCGAAACTGTCCATTAATTTATTGGCCACCCCGATCTCCGGACCTTACCCCATTTGATTTTTTCCTGTGGGGCTTTATTAAGTTCAAAGGGAAGCGTGACAGGAGATTAACGCGCATCAATTGCGAAATGTAAAAAATATAAAAGAACGTTATGAAAAATGTATAGAATTAAACGGAGGATTAGTGGAAGCTACATTAAATTTAATGACGTTATTAGTGTAAATCAATTTGATAGACTCCTTTTTCATTTTTAAAATTGTAATTTTTTTATCATTACTTTTTTTTATCAATTGTTGTTTATGTTAGAGTAATTGTTGTTTATTTTGTGTATACTGGTTTTTATGATCCTTATTAATAATTATTAAACCAGTGTCAGTTATTTAATTTTGTTTCCCTTTGGGTTCTATTCGATTTTTATAAAAGAATAGGTTCACCAACAACGGCAAACACAACTTTTTTAGGGGTAAACTTTTTTTAGCAAAAATTGGTACAAATGCTTTTGAGGGGTTCTAAAATCCAGCGGTGTAGTCAGATTTTCTATAAAAAAAAAAACGCTAACAAAATTTTGCTATTTTTCACTTAAAAAAAATCGTAGTAGGCCCTGAAAATCAAAATTTCGTCTTCAAATTTTACAGCAAGATAGAGCTTTTGCAGATATATCTTTAAAAAAAAACCGGTTCAAATCGGTCCATAAACAACTTTTGTACGCGAGTGTTTCCATTCTTAATGGGTCACCCTGTATGTACAGAGTGATTCAAAATTCTATTTTTTTGCGATTTACCTCTTTATAATCGAGATTTTCGAATGTAGGAAATTTTAGATAAGTAGGTATATGTATCATCTGAAAGGTTTCATGTAATCGGAATATGTGGTCAGAAAACCATCAATTTAAAAAAATACAGGAAAAAAAAACAATTTCCTAACTCGTTTAAATATGGACAAACATATTAGAAATTTAGAATTAATATTTAATGTCCTTAGATTTAACGGTGAAAATTGCTCCTTTAAAGAAATATTTATAGCTTAAATCAGCTGTATCATTGGAACATATAGTTTTGGGCATAAATTTTCCTTCAGAACAAGGTCACACCTTCAGAAACCCATTTCCAAAGGAAATTCCGGACGTCGAGCTGTGCCTTATAGTCCAAGCATTATAGAGAAATGCTTACAGAAATTATTACCTGGACAAAAAAAATATGACCGTATAGAAAATTAAATTTTAAATTGAGTTTCTCGTTCTATAAACTCGATCCAATATGGCGAACATGGTTAAAAAAAATCGCAAAGTTGAAAAAAACGGTTTTTCTAAAATAACTAAAAAAATATAGCACGGATTGAAAAATTTTAAATAAGAAAGTTGTAGGTTTTAAAAATATCTATCGACTGATTTTTTGAAAGTATCGATTGCTTTGTTACTTTTCGAGATATATCGAAAAAACCGTTAAAAATCTTCTCTTTTCGCTTCTTCTATAACTCGTTTACATTTACGTGCCCATATTTGCTATTTCCTGCAAGCATAGTCCACGGCAAGCCAAAAAAGTACATTTTTGAAAAATTTAAAAATATTAATTATTTTTCGAGATATATCGATTTTTTGAAAAAAAGGCGCTCTCGAAAATTGGCCAGATCTTCTCAGCGGATAGCCCTACAGTAACGATTTTCGGTTTATTTTCTTCGTAAAGAGTTATATTATCATACTGTTAAAAAATGTTGACGATTTTATTAATTTTAAGGATCAAAAAATGACTTTGAAAAAGTTGCACTTTTTTGGGTATGTAACTATTTCAATTTTTATTTTATGAAAATGACTTTTAAAGAAACATATACGGGTCTATTTTGCTACTAAGGCGAAAATGCTATAATATTCGTGTTTAGCTACCCCAGATTAAGTACAAAAAAATAATAAAAATTGAAATAGTTATTTGAAAAAAACATACCCAAAAAAAGTGCAACATTTTCAGTCATTTTTTGATCCTTAAAATTAATAAAATCGTCAACATTTTTTAACGGTATGATAATATAACTCTTTACGAAGAAAATAAACCGAAAATCGTTACTGTAGGGCTATCCGCTGAGAAGATCTGGCCAATTTTCGAGAGCGCCTTTTTTTCAAAAAATCGATATATCTCGAAAAATAATTAATATTTTTAAATTTTTCAAAAATGTACTTTTTTAGCTTGCGGCGGGCTATGCTTGCAGTAAATAGCAAATATGGGCTCGTAAATGTAAAGAGTTATAGAAGAAGAGAAATAAGAAGATTTTTAACGGTTTTTTCGATATATCTCGAAAAGTAACAAAGCAATCGATACTTTCAAAAAATCAGTCTATAGATCTTTTTAAAACCTACAACTTTCTCATTTAAAATTTTTCAATCCGTGCGATATTTTTTTAGTTATTTTAGAAAAACCGATTTTTTCAACTTTGCGATTTTTTTTAACCATGTTCGCCATATTGGATCGAGTTTAAAGAACAAGAAACTCAATTTAAAATTTAATTTTCTATACGGTCATATTTTTTTTGTCCAGGTAATAATTTCTGCAAATTTAACATTAATCCGTGACAGAATGCTTGGATTATTAATTGAAATTTGGTATCCAGAGACATAAATAACTCCCTCCTTCAAATCCGTATCCGAAAAAAATCTTTCCCATGTCACACATCCTCCCGACGCGCGATGTTAGAGGGCACGTTATCCAACCAGTCGACTTAGCATGTTCTCCACGTCCCTACATGCCTTTATTCTGGTTCCAGGGCTGCGTCGCCATCATAAGCATGACATGGATCATGTCCGTGACGCTGTTCTCGATTCTGGTGCTGCCGCGCGGAGGTTACTACTTCAATCCCACGGGAATGATGGCGTGCGAGCCTTTCTATTCCCGGGCCTCCATCAGGATCCTGGCCGCGTGCGGGTTCTACTTCCCCACGACGATGATCCTGATGTACTGCTACGGCTCGGCGTTTCACGTGAACAAGCTTAGGCTGAGGAGGGCGGGCGGGAACACGGTGGCCGGCCCGGAAGACTATGGTGGCGCTAGTATGGAGAAGGTGAGTCGTATATTCTTGAAATGTTTAAATATACTAAAGTCGAATTAGATTATAAAATCTGAAAACTTGAAAAAATTATTAGTATAGACATTTTATCGCACTTTATGACGGGGAAGGGAATATCGAACGACAATATCAAAAAAGTAACTTGAAAGAAGTGACGCTAAGTTAGTAAATTACAAATAAATGGGTTTACGTGTTTTTTCGCTCTTTTTACTGCCCACGAAAATCTAGACGACCGACAATTTAAGGTAGCTAGAGTCATTTTTCACTAATTTGTTTACTTAGCAAGTACCTTCTCTTTAAATGGCTCGTGAGTCGTTAATTTTCCAGATTTCTCAATGCAATTCACGGGAAATCGTAGTTTACGTCGTATACTTTATTTTGCGAAAAATTCAAGTCTTAATATTTATAAACAATTGAGCTACGATTTAAAAAAAAAATCTTATCTTGGCTCCTGTTGGTCGTAGAGGGTGCTTTTTTTAAAAAAAACAGTGTTTTTTTTTTGCCAGCTATCCATTGCATCTATTTTCGGTGAGATACCATAAATAGCAACAATGTTATTCAAATTGTTTATAAGCTAACAGGTAAACAGTTTTTCACTTTCCAGGGAAAACCATCAATTTTAGCGAATAGTGCCTCTTAGACAGCTTGTAGGGAATACAATTATCTACAAAATGAGACTTGTTAAATTAAAATCGGTTAAGAAACAAAAAAGTTATTGCAAAAAAACAAGAAAAGTGCCCATTTTTTAATTTGTTTATAACTATCGCATTTATTGTTAAAATTTTATAAAACCTATGGCAAGTTGTGGGTTTTGTCACACTTTAAAAGTGTGCCAAAAGTGGGCGCTGTAGGTGCATTAGTTTTCGCACAATTCAATTTGTTTATAGCGGAGGCTCCAAAAGTTATGAACTTTAAGCCTCTGTACAGGCGTTAATTTTCAACCAAACATAATTCTGCAAGCGTCATTGTAATCTTAAAGACGTAATTAAGTTACCTATTTAAAAATATCACCATTTGAAAATAATTTGTGAATTTTTACTTTAATTTTACATTTAAATCGTAATTAAATAGCTAACAAAATATTGAAAAAATAAATTTACTTTGGCTTAATATGTAAAAAAATACCTTTTTAAATGAACGATAGCTTCATTTATTTATTTAATAATAGTAAAGTAATTCCGAGTTTGAAATTTTAATTAATATTTCGTTTAACAATAATTTTTATGACATTTTTGTAAATTAAAAAAAATTAAGTATAAAAGATGCATTTTTTCTGGGGTTCAGGGCTATTCTACGAATTCGTGAATATGCCCATTGTTATTTTTTCGTCGAGTTACCCCATTTCAAAAAAAAATTCTACGATGAATAGATGCCGAGATATTGCAAAATTTTACAGCGCGCATCAATTTGAACGCGCGCGCGCTTGGACGAGCTTCCCCCATCACCACGCCGGACAGTTTACTTAGCAAGTATACCTTCTCTTTAAAGGGCTCGTGAGTCATTAATTTTCCACATTTTTCAATGCAATTCATGGGAAATCGTAGTTTACATCGTAAACTTTATTTTGCGAAAAATTCAAGTCTTATACACAATTGCGCTACGATTAAAAAAAAATCTTATCTGTTTCTCACTTATTTGTTTAAATAGAAAAGTTAGCTTATAAAAGTTATAAAACGCACGGTTTTTTAATGCACAATTTGAGAATGTTAATGTCAAAAAAAACCGGTGATATTTTTTAATAGGCCGCTTAATTGCTTCTTTAAGATTACAATGACGCTTTCAGAATCATGTTTGGTTGAAAATTAACGCCTGTACAGAGGCTTAAAATTCATAACTTTTGGAGCCTCCGTTATAAACAAATTGAATTGTGCGAAAACTACTGCATCTACAGCGCCCATTTTTGGCACACTTTTAAAGTATGACAAAACTCTCAACTTGTCACAGGTTATATAAAATTTTAACAATAAATGCGATAGTTATAAACAAATTAAAAATTGGGCACTTTTCTTGTTTTTTTTTTGCAATATTTTATTTGTTTATTTAACCGATTTTAATTTAACATTTCTCATTTTGTAGATAATTTTACTCCCTACAAGCTGTCTGGGAGTCACTTTTCGCTAAAATTGATGATTTCCTTGCAAAGTGAAAAAACTGTTTTCCTCACTTATTTGTATAAATAGAAAAGTTAGCTAATAAAAGTTTTTGACTCACGAGATGAGAGATGTCTTGTATTATGTTCCTTTAGACAGTTTTGCAATAATATCGCGGATAGGAATTTTTTCGAGTTTCTCTTTTTTTTCGCTAATTTTCCTGGTCTACATAGGCTCTAATTGATTCAAAGAAATGTATCGAAGAAGAAAAACTTTGAAAGGTTGAAATTAAGTTACAACTAACAACGTAGGACGTGCAAATCAGCGTTATAAACAAATTGTCCCAAGGTCAGACAAAAGCCGCTCGGGGATTCACTCTTTTTGCATTAAATAGGGTTTATTTTAAGGTAATTTAAAAAAGTGAAAGCACCTACGCTTCTAACTATTGGACGTATCGGACCCGTATTTTAAAGACAATTAAAGGAAGGATTAAACTTTTATTAGCTTAAAAATATTAATAAAACCAATAATAGATCATATTGGTATATGTTAAGTGCAACATATATAGAACTTATTTCTCGCAATAGTCATTAAATAATGGTGATTTCGATTTTCTTTGGCCAACGTTAGCTAGTTTCAGTATTAAAGAATTAAATAGAAAGGAAAAGACAAAGAGGTACATATTTTCCATATATCTCTTACTTATGAATTTAAATGTTGAAACGACAGTATTGGTCTCTATTATCCCACAAAGAGTAGTTCTTACAAAAACTGACATAACAAAAAGTGAAAGAAGGTTCTTCGTTTTTTTCATTTGAAGCATTAAAGCATATAGACCAGGGCGGATCTGTCGAAATATCCCCCTTCTTGGATGTAAGAGGGGGCAAGCTAATTTTTACTGGACTACCTTCAGTACAACGCACATAATAAAAGTGTAGATCCCTAGATCTGGGCGAGATCCAGAACATTTTCAAATTTGCAACAATGTTTAAAAATTTTAAAAAATACCATTTTTATCTGAGTTTTTTAATTATATCTTGGAACCTATGCATTTTGGAAGAATATTGAAGAGGGAAAAAGTTTTAGAATTGAATTTTGCACAATACACTGTAAGTTAAAAATGTTTAAATATATTACCGATGTTGCAAAATAGTAGTAATTGATGAAAAAGAGGCAAAATAAAGAGGCAAGTTTTTTGGATAATTTTTTAAAATTATTTTAATTGCTCCGAGGGCATAATAATTAGAGTATAATAAAACAACACGCCAAATTTTATTAAAATCGGTTTGATAATTTTCGTAAAATAAATTTTTGAAAAAAAAAATTTCGAATTTTCAAAATGTTGCACGGCCTCAAATAAAGCATCTAGATACTTGAAAAATTTTTCACATAGAAAAGTCCGCTCTACCTTTCAAATGGTTTTTGAAAAATTGAAATCTGTTGATTTTTATAAATTATAATTTTAATGTACTCGACAAGACGTTTCTTTTTTTTTAAGTTGAATTCCGTTTATTGGTTCTCGAGATATAAGCGGTCAAAGTTTATGGGCATTTACCGTTAATTTATAAACAATTTAGCAATAATCTTTGATCCAGTGGCTTCGTTTTTCCGAGTTCTAAGCTGGAAAAAATTTTCGTATCCATAAGTTATCCATAAGTGACTCAAAACACGAAAAGTGGAGGAGGGGGCTTTCGCTCCGAAATTGAATTCGGAGGTTCAAAATGCGAAGGTACGAAAAAAATTGCATTTTTACCTTTAGCTAAGGAATTCGAATATCGTAATGCCAACTGTCGAATTGCACATATTTTGTTATAAGCAAAGTTTATTATTTATACATTAAATATACTGTATATTTTACCCTATGCTATCGCATTTTGTCAATGAAAAAACTTGTTTACGTATCTATTTCAACACTGAATATGAATGTATTTAGTTATAATTATTACAATTATTTAAATAATTTTTGTTTAAACAAATTAAAAACAAAATTTATGTGGAAATTAATTTTTTTGTTAAATACAGATAAAATAAAAAATAGTACTTTACAATTATAATTTTTGAAAAAAACTAAATTACAAATTGATAAATATAACCTAATCGTTTAAAAAATTAAAGAAGAGTACTGGGCCGTCTTAATCAACCGATTTCAATTTTTTAAAAACCATTTGAAAGGTTGAGCGGTCTTTTCTATGTGAAAAAATTTTCAAGTATCTAGAAATCTAGATGCTTTATTTGAGGCTGTGCAACATTTTGAAAATTCGAAAATTTTTTTTCAAAATTTTTTTCAAAAAATGTTTTTGCGAAATAAATGAATGAATGAATGATTTTAATGAAATTGTTGTTGTTTTTTTATACTCTGAAGTTTTTTTTTTTCAAAATTAGAATGCCCTCGGAGCAATTAAGATATTAAAAAAAAATTATCCAAAAACTTGATTTTTTACCTTTTTTTTAATCAATTATAGCTATTTTGGTAATACATTTAAACATTTTTAACTTACAGTATATTGTGCAAAATTCAATTCTAAAACTTTTTTCCCTTTCAATATCCTTCCAAAATGCATAGGTTCCAAGATATAAGTAAAAAACTCGGATAAAATATATATATTTCAAAAATTTTTATATAATAATATAGTGCCCATAGTGTTTTGACCAGCTGAATTTAAATCTAAAGTCAGAATTGCAGGAACAGCTCCTGTTTTGACCTTAACATCAAGATTCTCCTTTAGATACCGGTTTTCTTCTTTGACAGTAAAATAATTACATTCTGTGTAAAATTTTTTTCACATATCTCTATCACCTTGTGACAAATGTGAATACGCCAAATTTTTTGCCGCTGAAAAAATGCCTTCTTCATAAAAGTGCACTGCTTTTACTTTTACACTTCGTTAACCAATCAAGGAGACA